CGAGCACCCCGGTCGTGTCTCACGCTTCGGCGCTGGAGAGCGCACTAACAGGTGACACCATATTTACCGAGGTTGTAGCCATTGTTGGTCACCCTACCCCAGGCCCGCGGCGCGAGTATGTGTTTACGTACGCCTCACGTCCACGCTCATCGTCGCGGAACGTCGAGCGTGTTGCGTTATCCGCGATACGGATTTACATACGGAGTTATTATAAGAAACGCGCACCTTGCCACACACGGGGCCTTGAAGGTATAACAACTGACAAATACACGCACGCACGCACGCACACACATACACTTATACGCACGCAGGTCCCGTCGCGACGAATTATCGCGTCGTCGCTCGCGTTGAACGCACATGATCACCGCGGCGGCGACGGCGACGACATCGACGACGACGAGGACGAGAGTGCGTGAGTCGGATCGTCGAGATCTGCCGCGGATGGTGCTACGCGATGGGTGAAATTTATGCTTCGGAACTTACCTGCACGTTAACATTGCTTACAACACACACGCCATATTGGACACGACTGCTTGCGCCAGCTGCGCCTTGCGGGGAAAAAAAGACGAAAAACACGCGCGCGCCCCCTGCGGCGGAGACGCGCACTTTGTCCCGTTCGTGTAGGCCACGCGGCACACATGTGTGCGTGCGCGCGCGCGTTTACCTGTTTCTCGCGCACTTGGAACGTGCGTGACGGTGATGGAATATGGATGCTCGTAAAAATATATGCTAATCGCCTTACGTCTTGCTTAATATAGCTATGCGAGTGCCGTTGCCTCGTCGCAACAAAGCCACAGGCGCAAAAACCTCGTTAATATACAGCGTTTGCCGACATCTAGATGAAACCATCTTTTAGATGGTCATCTAGATGGAAAATTGGAACATCTCATCTTACATCTAGATTGTGCAAATATAAACCATCCTCATTCTTCATCTTAGAGAGAAAAGTATACCATCCTATCTAAAAAAAATTTTAGATGATTTTAATTTGACATAAATATAGGTTTGTTTCTTACAATTTTCAGCTGACATTTTTCTTTTTCTTACGATTTTATGAAAAAAAAAAAAAGATCTTATTAGTACGCAACCAATTATCAGCAGCAGCATAGAAGCGCTTTCCTATTTAGAATCAAAATCAATAAGGATTTATGTTTCCTCGTAAATTTCCCTAATGTAAAAAATAATTTTTTTTAATATAATACTTCTTTATCATCATCTGCGCCAGTAGAGCGGCTGTTTAGTATAGGACAACAAATACATGTATACCTCGTCGTAATCGTTTGTCGGATGGGAATTTTGAGAAACTTTTGTTTTTGAAAAATAAGGACTTATAAATAAAAATGTGAGCGTTTATATATCCTTTTTCCGATCAGCGCAACATTTTATGTTTATAATTATTTTAAAACAAACCCATCTAAAAAACAATCTAGATTGTTGAAAACATCTTTCATCTAGATTTTTGCAAATTAAAACCATCTTCATCTCATCTAAGATGGATTTATGGATTTCCATCTCATCTCCATCTAGATGATTTTAAAACATCATGTACAAAGATTATCTCACTTTCTGAATATTCGATGAAATTTTGATGTCCTTTTTTTTACTACCTTGCATTCTTCAAACATGTACATAATATATGGCATGAGTTTTGTCAAAGTTTTTGCAACTTCTAGAATGTGTACAAATATTCAACCATTTTCTATTAAACATTGGAAAAGTCTAATTTTTTTTACACAAATCTAATTTATTAAAGGGATACACAGATGGTTGTTCATGTAATAATTTATAATTTATATTAAAAGTATGTACACAATGTGTATTATTGCTTGTATTTAGCTTGTATTTAAACTTGGACTAAAATATATATCTTTATATTTAATCACTGAGACTATGAATAATGGATTTCAAAACATTATTCACATAAAAATAGGAAAATCTATTACTTGTCTAAAGAGAATATATGTGTATACATGAATGTCTAAAAATTCTTGTATTCTTATATGATGAGCTCTAATTGTAAGAGAGGAACAACTTTTTTTTATATAAAAGGTTATTAATACCTAAGGGTAATACCTAAGCGGAATTTTTTTTTTTTGGACAAAAAATTTTTGTCTTAAATCACACATAAACATGTCTAGAATGATGTCCAAGAGGAATTATTGCTGAAAAAATTTTTTAAGTACCCGTAAAACAGGCGAATTTTCGGAGCAGCTCCGAACGCGTGAAAATGACAAATTGACATTCGAAGCGCGTCTCGCCTCTTTTACTCATTACCGATGGTCGGTACACAAAATAGTTTCTAAATGAGGCGTCGCTAGTTGGTAGTTTGAAGCTGTTATTGAACATGTGTTGCCAGTTTAGCAGTTGACAGCAGTTGAAATAAAAGCGCGAACACGTGTTTCGAGCGTTGTACGGGCAGTTTTCTCGGACATTTGAGTTCTGTTTCCGATTATTTTGTGAACTTTTTCGTTAAATCATGAGTGGTACAGTGTACAAAGGCCATAAAGGAACTAAATATAATTCCACCTCTAGTAAACGAAGCAAAATAAGCAATCGAAGGCCACCTAACCGGCATTCTTTGGACAGCGTGCCAGACGAGTTCTTGAGTGCGTCTGCGAAGAAACTGAAAACTGACGATGCAGCCGAAAACAGAAATATCGATGAAGGCTTCGGGTACCGATTCATCAATTTTATAACGGTATTTACAACTCTTTCGCAAATGATTGTATGTAAAACGTGCAAGGGTGACGTACGTTTTACGGAAACAAGCAAACGTGGCCTCGGTTTTAAAATCGTTATAATTTGTAATGATTGCGGTGAATTTACTATCAACAACTGCCCGCTTATAAATGAACACTCGTATGAAATTAATATACGAATGACTCTTGCAATGCGCATCCTGGGAATCGGTTTAAATGGTATAAAAAAATTCTGCGCATTTATGGATCTAAAAACCGAAGCCGGTTTTTCAATCGACTTATGATTTAATAGTAAAAAGTATTTTAACTGCTAGTACATCTGTACGAGATCTAAGTATGCAGAAAGCGGTAACACAAGAAATAAAAAACAACCACGAACACTATAACAGTAACGAAATTATCGTTTCCGGCGATGGTACATGGAGAAAAAGAGGCTTTTCTTCGCTTTTCGGATTAGTCACACTTATCGGTTGGTTTACTGGGAAAGTTTTAGACGTGTGCGTGAAATCAAAATATTGCAAGTCATGCGAATTTTGGAAAAAGCGAGAAGGTACTGCCGAATACGAAGAATGGGTCGAAAATCATACCTTGGAATGCCAATGCAGTCATAGTGGATCGGCGGGGAAGATGGAGGTTGACGCGGTCACGGAAATGTTTCAACGATCCGAAACTTTATACAACGTGAAATACGGTAGTTATATCGGCGATGGTGACTCGAAAACCTTTAAAAGTATCCTTGAAGCCAAGCCCTACAACGATTTTACTGTCACGAAGAAAGAGTGCATTGATCACGTCCAGAAGAGGATGGGAACACGACTAAGAAATTTGAAGAAAAAAACTAAAAGTCTGGGAGGTCATGGAAAACTTACTGGCAAGCTCATCGACGAGTTGTCTATTTATTACGGTCTTGCAATCCGAAGAAATCCGGAATCAGTTGAAAAAATGCGAAATGATATTTACGCAACATTATATCACAAGATTTCAACCGACGACAACCCGCAGCACGATAATTGCCCGACTGGATTGTCATCGTGGTGCTCGTGGCAAAAGGCGCAAGCTTTAGGAACAATCGATGATTATACGCATAATCCTGCAGTGCTCGACGATGTTTACAATGCCATTCAACCAATTTACGACGAACTCAGTTCCGAAGATCTTTTATCCCGCTGCTTGGGAGGATTCACTCAAAATTCGAATGAGTCGTTCAATTCCGTTGTCTGGTCGATAGCTCCGAAAACGGTTTCAAGCGGAAAGGGAATACTTGACATTGCTACAAACATTGCAGTTGTAACATTTAATGACGGATTATGTGGCGTTATAAAGATTATGGATGTAATTGGAATTACTGTTGGTCGTCAATGTTTCGATTTTTGCATGACAGCCGACTCGCGCCGCATTCAACTCGCCGAGCGCTCAATGTCCGACGCCGCCAAAGCCAGCCGCCGTGATGCAAAATCAGCGAAAAAAGAATCAGAGAAGCATTACATCGACGCAGAAGGCCAGTTATATGGTCCTGGGATAGCAGAGTAAAGGTAAAAAAAATTGGCAAGCCCGTATCTTAAAAATTTCACATAGAAAACATATTGTCAAACTTTAAATGCGTTTTTCTCGAAACCACGTTTTCAAACACTGCTAGCAGCAGAACTCGAGTAATTTTTATCCGATTGACTTGAAATTTTAACTGTAGCTTCTTAGATAGATTATCTACAGAAGTACACACGATTATTAAGATTGATAAACAATTACAGTTTTTATAAACAAATAAAGGTTGTTTTTTTTAGTTTAAAAAATCGACTTTTTCTTTAAATTGCTACCAAATTTTCAAAATTCAATATTTCTTAATATCCATGTGTACTTCTATAGCTATACTTATGTAGAAAAAAATTCTTTTTTTATTCCAGACACGATCGTTGGAGACTTCTACTGCTAGCCCCGGGACGCCTACAAAAAATCAGCTGTATTTGCGCGACCTGCCAAGCCGCCATTTTGTAATGAAAATTAATAAAAAAATTTGTGCTTGCACTTCAAGACATGTACAATAAGCCCTCAAAATCTCACATTGATCGGTTCATTAGCGAAGTCACAAAAAATTCCCCAAAAAACCTCTAATTTTTAGAGGTCTAATTTTAGGCGACTACCGGCTAGGTATTACCCCTTAGGATTAAATAAATGAATTATGAAAGATATTGGTATGTTAGTAAAGATCTGCAAAATATATGTATATATATATATACTATTCTTAAATAAAAGATAGATTAATATACGAAAAGCATTTTCCTAATTACTAAAACACTTGATATATTGTCTTTCATTCTTTTTTTATATTCTTTAAGGATTTAAATTTAATTTGACAGCTTCTTGTCGTATCACAGAGATGAGTTCTTGATTTATTAAAAATGTGAACCTCAGTCCTGCAATCTGTAAAATAATGTATATAAAAACTGCGATTAAAAACTATTTTTAGTTAAAATAAATAAACTATTATATTTAAGAGATAAGAAATAAATCTTATGCTTTATATAATAATTATAATTACATAATAAATGTAATATCTCATACATAATAATAATTTATGTATTTACCTCAATTACACTATTGTTATTCAATTTCATCTTATTGCCAGCCAAAATTGGTCTGCTGTCTACAAAAATCGGTCGTTTTCCCTCGGACGACAGAAAGAAATCCCCATTATTTCTTAAACGGATGGTACCTTGTCGACGTGAAACTTTCCATGCTGGACCTTCTAAACCAAGATCCACGTCAACAGTATGGTCTTTTGTAGAACGTCCCACACTTATCTGAACAAAGATACAGAAGGATATGAGATGTAAATCTTTTAAGATAAAGTAATAACTTATTGTATTATATATGAACAATGAAAAAAAATAACCTACACTTGTCTCTTACCTCTCTAGATCTCATAAGGTATCTGACAAGTCTTCCTCTTAAAATGGCTAAGGTTTGATTATCAAATTCTGGAGGATTGACACCTGTTACGCTGTCGACAAGTACCTGCCATCTGCTAAGTTCGTTTTCCAATACTTTAATTTCTTTCTTGTTTTTTCTGTCTGCCGTTGCCAATTCATTGTCCACTAATTCATCTTTCGATTCCATTAATTCAGTATCGTTGATCATATCTTCGGCATCCGAAAAACTTAACACATGTTCACCTCGTGGTAAACTTTGCACTGTCTGATCTGGTAATAGGTGATATTGTTTCATCAGCTGCCAATGGCTGTGTAACGCTTTCGCAGTCCTAGCTGGATAAAATGTATGTGCATTTGCTTCAAGTAATTCTTGAAATACTTCCAATGTTGGTTGAGAAGTCTGAAGATAAAATAAAAAAATCACATTCATAATAATCCAGGCATTAAAAAAAAACTAATTCATATCAATATACAACAACTTTAATCTTGATTTAACTTGTTTATCCTTTTTTAATTCTTAAAATTAAAAAAAAGATGAAGAATAAGTTGAACCGAAATTAAAGTTAATTTATATTAGTAAAGACGAGCATCAGTAACTAATTCATATAATAAGTTATATTTATTTTTTCTATAAAAACATTTGCCACTAAAGCCTGCGACACAATGCGTGTTTTCCTGCTGGATAACTTGTGTTTTAGTTAATTACTAGAATTACATTACACAGAACATACAATTCTCAGTAATTTACCATGCATCATGTGCTGCAAGAATTTATTAATACCTACCGATTTAATAGTGCCTAATAGATCTTCCTCTACTTTGCTATATAAAGTTCTTGCTTGAACACTGGCTATTAGTTCAGGATGCAAATTACGCATAGCTTGTACAGCTACACGCGAAACCGCGCTGTCATATAATAATGCATACCATCTTTGCTGTATTTCCTGCAGTGTAAAACGACAAGAAAATTTTGTACCTCGATGGACCTTAAACAGACAATAAAGACATTAGAAATATATTACATTTTTTCTTATAGATATCAAAGAAAACAGTTGTGCCCATAATTACAAAAGTAGTCGTAAGTAAAAAAATGAATTATCCCATGTTTTTGACTTTTTATTTAGACTACTTCATAATTACTGGCGCAATTAGCAAAAAGAAGGTAGAGACTAATTAGGTATATACCATCCTTAAATCATTTGTCTGTTGTACACCAGTAATTAACGCCAAGTCGTCGGCGGGTTTCCATCGACCGAGGTCTTTGGTGGCATTGAACGAATGAGAATGGTTTTTACTCTTCTTATTCTTTCGTCCAGGATTTGAACCGCTCGGTCTGCTGGGTCTACGGTTGCATCTGTCTGACTGTGCCAAGGTGGTTGGAATGGGTATCGGAGTTGGCAGTGTCTGTGTTGGCAAGACATCCATGGGGCCGGCGGTTACAGAAATCGTTCGTGATTTCGACGCTGATTTGGCGCTTGTAGCAGGCGGTTGTAGATTGAACGTTGTTTCCACGACTTCATCATCGAACTTCTTGCGTTTTATCGTACGTGAGGAGCTTCAAGAAAAAGAAAATAAAAGCGATACAAATTTTTCAGCTTAGCAGTGATTTATAATTTATAATAAATTCAATCACTTGCATTACATTAATTTAATATACAAAGATTAAAAAGACTGCTACGTATATATATAAAATATCTGAATGCAATGGCAAATAAACTCTGAATGTGAATTAATATATGTATATTCTGTTAAATATA